CCCCTCATGTTGGGAACCCCCCCCCCCCCATTGTCACAAGTGCCTTGCGAGCTTGGGAGGTTGCTCATTCAATCTACTAGGGTTTAGGGTTTAGGGTTTAGGGCTTAGGGTTTAGGGTGGAGTCTTATAGGGTTATACAGGGATAATGGAAAAGAAAATGGAAACTATAGGGATTATAGGGTTTATATAGGGATTATATTGGGGTTATATATATATATTACCCACGGTCCCAAAGGTCCAAAGTACTGGTACCTATTGCCAGGACCCTCCTGATACCCTTACTTTGGGTTTTATGGCCCCGCCATACTGTGTACTGAGACCCTCATAAAGGGTAGGTGGCTAGACACATAGAACAAAATATTGTGTCTGCAGTGGCAAATTCCGCCACTACGGACCAGGGAATAGGGTTTAGGGTTTAGGCTTGGCCAAAAAAGGTGTGTAGCCATGGTATTCTTCAGATTGTTGTTGCTTAGGCAATGCTGTGTGGGAGTCTTCACGAGGACTGTCTTCGTAAAACTAGCCTTCAAGATGGATCATCTAAATTGCCTGTATACCATTGGTTTCGAGAGGTCACCCCCAGTATCAGCAGCCCCAAATTAACGACACCAGGAAATGGGTCTCGGAAGTGGATGCTGATCCCCTGCACCTCGGCTAATCTGCAAGTTTCGTGCTTATGGGTTAGCGATTTTGAGGAGGCTGACATAGACCTCATGCAAGCACCTGGTAGTTCCCTACTCGAAAATTCTCTTAGTTTGTGGGTTTAAGCGTCTTTTTAGGCTTGGACCTCAGACTGGTTGCAAAAGAACGTGTGTCTACGGCTTGCATGGGGTTTTGGTTAGTTTTTCGCGGCCAAGGCTTCGGGCCTGTAGGTTTCAGCACAAACCCAGCAACGAACGAAGTTCATATAGGGGGGATCCTAAACCCGAAACCCTTAACCCCTAAACCCGAACCCAGAGTTTGCTAGAATTCTTCTTGGTCAGCAGTTCCAGGGCTTGCTGCGCGGGCGTTTGAGGCTCGAGTTGCATTCAGGGACCCCCTATGTAGATCTTTAGGGGTTAGGGTTTAAGGTTTATAGTTGGACCCCAGTATAGACCTTTAGGGTTTGTGGCTTAGGGCCAGTTCAGGGTGCGGGTGCCAAGGACTATTGCAGGCTTCGAGTTCTACACGGGAGGCCCCATAAACCCTTGGGTCATCTCAGCCTAGTGGCAAAGTTCCTTGGACTATGGCACCTCCTCCTGGCCATCTAAGAGCCCCATGCTTTGTACCTTATGTGCCTACACAAGCTTGGGATGGTTTACAGAAAGTACACGGGGCCAAGAACAGCCCAAGGCCTGAATTGTGGTTATACAAGAACACTAGGGTTCAGTGACCATCATACGGGTAACAATCATAGTAGACGAGTAAAGAAAGTAGTGACAGCAAGAAGAGTTACAATACTGCGTAGTTCGCAAAATTAGGGTCCCTTTTTGGTACCCCTAAATATCAGGTGCCATAATATAATGTATGACCAGAATGGGCCCATCATTTTGAGAGAACAATCCATATCACCCCTATATAGTACCCGAAACCCTAAATAGTAGCTTCCATTTTCTTTTCCATTATCCCTATATAACCCCTATATATACCCTATTATGATATGTCCCTTCAGGACTACAGTGGACATCTACGCAAAGCAAACGGCTGTCCCACAGCTTGTTGGTGGGCAGAGCTTCGGGAACCCCGATGGGTCATAGGTTTTAGGGTTTAGGGGTTATTCCATAGGGGACGCTTCAATCAGTGTATTCTGATAATGAGAGAATAAAGAAGAACTTGGAAATTAGCAGATGTGGGGTTATAGCATGTATTCGGGTTAGCGTCTCCTGACTGGCAAACATGGCAATTAGTATGCTCAGCCGCTTAGTATGCATTGGGGGTTAGCTCCTCCTTCAGAAGTTTGAGTGTGACTGTGGGCGATCTGTGCTAAGACTGACATTTCAGGTCCGAGGCCTTGCACATTCAGGCTCTTTGTACCTTGTACAGCCAGCAAGGGACCAGGATCTGTAAGAAGCATGTCGAAAAAATATTCTGGACAACCCTAAACCCTAAACCCTACAATAATGAATTGTGTTTCAACTTTTTAGCTCACAAAACGTGTTCACCTCATGATGCTCCAGGGAGGCCCTGGTAGTAGGTCCCTCCTAACAAGAGGGATTTGCACAACATGGTCTGCGCAATCGTGCGTTAGAATCCTAGTACCCTAAACACCCAACCCTAAAGCCTAAACCCTGAACCCCTAAATCCTAGAACCATCTAAAACCTAAACCCTACACCGTATGCTGTCGGACTGAGACCTTGCTTCAAGAAGTTGCATCCTTCTTTTGGGCAATCCCCATAGGGCGCCTGTAGCTGTATTGTATATGCTTGGGCGCCATGCTAATTGTGTATAAGAACCCCTTGGGCCCCAAAGCAGCTATGTAGGAACTTCCTCCGAAAAGCACGTGTATACTGTATGCTTCTGGTGACCTCTTGGGGAGTACCAGCTCCCAAAGGGCAGCCACTTGATACAGCTAGAGTCAAAACTCCTTAAAAGTTTTTTTTTTGCGGGAGTGTATAGGGGGTTATTAAGGTGGGTACTAGGAGTTTAGATTATTCTCCCTATAATCCACTATTATCACACTTTCCATTTCATTTTCCATNNTTCTCCATTATTAAGGGGGATACTTTAGGTGGACCCCCCCACCCGGTAATAGTGACTATTATGGACTTTTTGGATTATATTAGAGTCCTCTCATATTCCTAGTATACCACTATTACAGGGTGGGGATACTAGGAGTTGAGACCCAGGTGGCACACTTCTACGCCAGATGCTTCAAAGAAGAGGTTGAGAAGAAGACAAACATGAGGATCAACCTGGACTTTGCCTCCTGGCTTTAGGGTTCAGGGTGTAGGGTTTAGGGTCTGGGGTTCAGGGTTAAGGATGGTTAAGGGTTTCCTTATCCGGAAGACAGCTGCAGCTTCCATGTGTACTCGTAGAGTAGAGTGTCCGGAAAGCTGCCAGTGTTTGTTCGTCGAGTTGTATTGGGATATCTAAGTTTAGGTTGGACATTGCCCTCAATAGGAAACAGTTGGGTGATATTGACAGTACTTGTTATGTGAAGGCAAGAATATTTCCCCTATAACAGACTCGTGCTAGGTGGGGCCAGTTCGCAAAGTTTAGTGATGAGAGAGCCCGCATGAAGCAGGAGTTCAGAATTTTGGGTTTCTATAGGTCAGTGAAGTGCTGACCCCTGATTCCTGTAGCCGAAGGATGGCAGTCTTACTTGGGTAGTTTCCACAGAAAGGGGCACCCCAAAATAGACCCCAAATGCTACAATCCTATCAAAAAAGGTACCGAATTTGGGAAACACCCCCACTTCTTCGTTTGCAGGGATGGGCCATGCCCGATCGATCATATGTCGTTATCTTTTCAAGATTTGTGGCTGCCTTGCAGGCACAAAGGCTTCTCTTCCTTCTTACATGTAGCTCCACTTACCTAGAGCTCAGGATTCTTGACCCCTGGGTAAGACCCCATAAGCCGTAGGCAAATGGAGACGTAGAGACAGCCGCTTCCAACAGCAACTCTTGTGGACCTTCCCACCAGAAACATCTCCCAGGTTGTGGCCCGGAAGCTGGTGTAATTGATTTAGGATCCTGTAGAAGCCTAAATGATTACAAATATTATGGTCCTAGGTTCTGTGTATAGTTGTAATGATACTGGTGATTATTCACGCCCCGACAAGACTGTACAGCAAGCTCCTCCAGTCCTGAGTGTCAATCTTCAGATTCAGAAACTGTAGAACTCCTTCATCCTATATTCCTGAAATACTTTAATTCGCAGCATACGCGTGAAATGCTAGAAGCTTGCATACAATCCCTAGGCACCTGCGTAGGAGCATGTCTACCCCTTGGAAGTCTTTATGCGCTCCTCTCCAACAATGCATGACGTGGGCCTACCTTGAGGTGCCTTGCTATGCTTACCAGCCGACGGAGGCAGAGGACCAGGACTTGGAAGGTTTCTGCGGGGAGCCCCAGGGGCATGAGGAGGGTGTGGACGAGGAGGGGAGGTGGCGGGGTTGTATAATTTTAGTTTTAGTCAGTAGAAATAATGGTGGTGGTGGTGGTAGTAGTAGGAGGAGTAGGTTTGATACCCCACTGCCCTTGCTCCGAACGGCTGAGGTGGGGAAGAGTTCGTCAGCGGAGAATTTGTGAAGCCGCCCGTACTTCAACAGACGGGTTTGTGGTCCTGCTGCGAAGCAAATCCCTAAGCTTAGATGATTCGATTTTGTGGCGTGAGGAAGGTAGACGTCTACGAGGAAAATGGGGAGATCATGCCAGTATGAGTTTAAAAGGATTTTATGGTAACACTCTTGGTTCATGCTCCAAGGAATTTAATTGCCTTCGAGGATGTGTTGCACACCACAAAAGCAGAACACTCAGGTCAGCTCTTGTAGTACAGAAGCAGATACCGCATTTCATGGGATACGGGGATTTTGAAAATGTCAGCGGCAAAAAAAGAGGACCCTCAGCGGGCTGCAGTCGTGTCCTAAGTCTAAGGATTACGAAATCCGCTCACTCGTCAAAGGGAGCATTCGGGTGAGTGCGGCTTGCGGTTGAGACCTGGATTCCGTATAAACTAAAGCATCATGGAATTCTCGTGTCATGTTGGCAGAATGCCTGAAAATCTTCAAGGACCTGCACAGACGGACCCATTCAGCCCTCTGGCGCAGCCAAACCCAGCATGGTGCTCGCAGCACAGGCTTACTTCCAATGCTGGCTTCGTGAATCGTGAGGAGTCACTTGGCTGAAGCCAGCGGGGTTATATTCTTTTGCTCTAATGGGAGGATGGTGACAGAATCTAGGTAGTCTTTGCTTGCTTTGGCTCCAGGAGTGAGTTGGAAAACCACAGTACGCCTGACAAGCTGTGCTTGAGCAAGATCGGGGTAGAGTGGATGCCGCGTCGAGGGAGCTTTGCAGGTTCAAGTGCGCCATTTTGTCGGTGGGGGGTTGAGAACTAAGGGAATAATTCCAGGGTATAAGGCTTTGTGGAGACGTACGTCTCCCCAGAAGGTTTTCCTTTTAATGTTAAGGTGGTAGCTTCCATGAATAGTGTAGACCCCAAAACACTACATTTCCTTCTATCATAGGTCCCTCAAAGAGTACCTCCACTTTTGAGAACCTTGCAGGTGTTGTGGTAGGGCTACTGGCATTGCTTAGCACGGCAAGTTGGAGCAAACGTCCAACCTTGGATGCACGCACTGCAAGAAAGAAGTGGTTTCCTGAGCGGCACACTGCTGATCCTACCCTAGCGCCTCCAAAGCCCAGATTGAAGTCCAAAGCCCTTATTTCTGACAGCGAATCTCCCAAAACTCCATGCACAAATAGTAGATTCCATGTTATACGGACACCATGCCACACGTATACCTTATAGCCCAAACCCTCAGCCCCGTATATACTCTAAACCCTAATTCCAAAAGCCTATACCCTAGTCCCAAAACCCTGAACGCTAAACCGTCAACCCTAAACTTGAGAAGCTCCTTTTGTTAAGGTATGGTGGCCATGCCGTGTACGGATCAGCCTTCTCCCACTACACCTTCCACTGGAGCCATGGTAGCTGGGCGCAGAGTAGTGTGGGTTTAGGATGTTGGGTTTAGGGATGATCGGATTAGGGGAAAAAGGGTTCAGGGTACCAGAACCCTCCTTGTACCCTTAAAAAAAGGCAAAGGGTCCCTAGTAGGGGTATGTAGGGAGGGGTGGAGGGTCTAGTGTAGAAGCCTGAATAATTGCTTGTAGCTTAATCTAACCCAAACACGTATCCGGATCGTAATCCATAATGTGGAACCGTGTTCTGATCTTCAAGGCCTCTACAGTACTTTGGGTTCTTAGCTCATTCATGAGTTCAAAGGCTCCAGGCAATGTAGCGGTATTTGTTATTGGTACTCGTGCCTTTTGGGTAACAAACTCAATGCTCAACATATTGAAAGTCCCAAGTCCTAGAAGGCCTAAACTGAAAAATCCTGATGCCCTCAGGCTCCATAAAACTTAATTCGCGAAAGCCTAAGACTCGAAATTCACACCCTCCCTTTTGCCATTACGTTCCTGTTCCGCCTTTGGAGCTTCCGATCCGGTGCCCAGGTTTACAGCGCCACCCAACCTGGACCCCCAATGCTTGAACATTACGCACTTCCGAGTCAACTCCCTCTGTTCAGTTTGGGGTTGATTGCCGAAATATGTGTTGAGACAGCGCTATATACTTGTAGTATGAGCACTCCACTTTGCCGATTGGAGATCAAGCGCCAAGAGGAAGGGAAGATGTCCTCAGTCAACTTAGCGGCCTGAGTATTTGTTATAGACTTGTTTCTAGCCATCCTTTCATGCGATAATCCCAATATCAAACACCTAAGGTTTGCTCTTCAATTTTCTTGGCCTCATTAATTCTCCGTAGGTGGCACCAAATAGCAGTTAACCTGTTTCAGGCGCGCTCCTTGGTGCCCTGGCCAACGCCCCAAGATTTTTCTCTGCACACAACACCAAGACTTGAAATTGAAGTTCTAGTCTGGATCGCGAAGACACGAACCCTGCCTACCCTGCTATGCCTCGAATGCTTAAGCACCGCGTCCCAACAAAGTTTACACCACGAACCCCATTTTCTAGAACCCCAAAAAACTCTAAATCTAAAAAGCACCCTAAACACTAAAACTTTCAACCCCAAGCATGCGTTTGACACCGTTCAGGTGCCCTCTTGGTCTCCGACATCCAGGGCGTGTGCTCCGGGCACCGGGATGATGGACGCCAGGGTAGGCTTGTAGTACTTTAATCCATCCTAAGGTCCTAGGGTCCAGAGATTTCAGGCTGCAAATGTTTGAGGCTTTGGGACTTTGAGGTCTTGGGATTCTAGAGTTTTTTCTGCTTCGGTGCTATGGGCTTTTGGGTTCAGGACTTTTTGACGTTGCGGGTTTGAAGGTGTTCCTGGTCACGGGGTCGGATATGAAGTCCCTGTAAGAAGTCAACAGCTCTGGGGTGTATTTAGGTACACTTGGGAGGACCAAACTTGAGAAATTCGATATTCAAACAACAGCACTGTACACGAGACTCGCAAGTCGCATACCATGCCACATGGGAGCCGACATAACAGCCGTCCAAAACCCTGCCGCAGTTCCAGATATAGCTGTTAGATGCTGTTAGACTATTACATTTCTGAAAGGCGGCTTTCAATGCTGGCACGCTCTCAGTCAATGCCAACGCTAGACGTTTTCAACCCTAAGCCACCCGAGTATCTTGGACATCCCAAACCTGAACTCAAAATCTGCATGCTTAGGGGCTGCCGACCTCACTAGCCATAGTTTCCTGATAGGTAACCCCGTAATGCCTAGGATGCGGCCTCTAGGGGGTAATGAAGGAAGGGACGTTCACTCCCAGTAAGCAGCAAGCAACGAAACTTTGAAACGTGAATTTCCGAAATCTACACTCTACGACAGCTCGTGCTTTAGGGGGTGGTGGGGAGTGAGAGCTTTCTTTTTTGCCGCCTCAGTGCCCTGTAAGGGCTTGTAAGATGCTAGAAAGCCACCGACATCGGGATGCGTACCTTTGGGAAATTTCATAATTCCCTGCTGAACCCCCCGGCGCCCGCACATGCAGGAAATATCTAGGCAAAACATGACATCACGAACACAGGGAGAATTAGGATATTCTCACTCCACAGATGGGCATGTTTCTTAATTCCATCAGTGTCTCCATACTTCCGTAATACCAACCCCTTCAAGACATGCAAATCGCTGTTGCTATGGTCTCTGGAAATACCAAAAACAGAACCATACTACTCCCTAGTAGGCCGTATGAATTTCGATACTGCCCCACCCAGGTAAGGCCCTAAACCCTACGCCCCTAAGCCCAAAACCCAAGACCCTAAACCCAAGACCCAAGACCCTAAACCCAACTAAACCCAACAAAACCCAACACCCAAGACCCTAAACCC